TTCAATAAACAGACTCCCTCTGAAAACCGATCATAGATCCCAGTCCCAGTCATGGTCAATTTTGACAAATTTTAATGTATTTTGCAATGTGTAAATTGCACATTGATGAGATATATTTTATTTGAAAGCTACACATTACTCTGCCTAGTACAAACAGTCCATTATACGTGTTTTGTAAGAAAACTTATGCGGACAATATGCTCAATGGCCATACAAACTGCAAGCCTCGAATGAGATTTCGAATACACGTAACATATTGTACAAACAACTACTTCAAAATTCCAAAGCAAATTGGCCATATGTGTTTCTCTGTATTGATTGCTAACTACGCAAATTAACTTGAATTAGCCAATTAATTCAAAACTGACACAAGGATACTACCAAAGAAATACTGTTCTGATCCTTGTGTTTATTGATATTTAGATTTTATGTATTGGTACAAGTTGAATGTAATTGGTTTGCACATTAGGTATTTAAACTGGATACTTTTATAAAATATTGTCATTTGAGCAGCATCTAGTTCATCATGTATCTAGTTTCAATCCAGTTGGTCAAACTAATGTGATGAGGCAATACATAGTGGAAAATGTTAATTAGTATGCAAATTTACATAACTATTATGCATACAAACTTTTGTTTGATTTAAACAAACCACAAGCTTGTACAAAATTTCAATCTATTTGAGTAAACCGCTGCAAAAATATAAAAAAGAACATGCTATATTAGTATAATATTAGCTCGTTAAAATGCATTGATTAATTCCAAATAATTATGAAACAAACTACACAAGCAGTAGATGTTTACAATGTCTCTATCAACTTTGAAAAAAAATCTGTTAAAAATATAAGCAAACAAAAATGAAAACAGTAATTTATATTATGCATTAATTAGCCAATTTATATGCACAGCATAATTTCAAAAGATTATCAGATACTAATTTATGCAACATCATGCATGTACTCAAGTTTCAATTTATTTGATAAATTGTTAGGATACAAACAAAACAATTTAGTATGTAAATAGGCTAATTAAAAAGAATAGAATAATTAAAAGTCATTATCAAACAAATAACTATACAAGTTAAGTGAATGCATACACAGAGGCTCATTAAAATGCTGGAATTCCTGTCAGCTCCGGTGTTCATGCCACAGTACTAATAGCCATGTACTCAAGTTTCATTCCAGTCATGCAAGTTGCTTGATATACTAGTTGGAAAAGATTTGACAGACATGCATACTGACAGGTATAGAAACAACATGACTTCTCATTAGTTTTTGCACACAGGGGAGCCAGTAATAAGGACAAATACAGAGAGCAAATAATGAAGATTTCTGTGGAGTTAATTGTGTTACGATAAAAAGCAGATGCAAAACTTGTAGTCATTCAAGTTTCCGAACAAAAATGTAGTGTGAGAAAAAATGCACATAACAGTAAAAAATAGTATACAATTAATGTTTATTTCAGATGAAACAAATACCTAACATTCAACTTCTCAAAACCACTCCATCCAAAATGACAATAAAACCCATTTCTGTGATGATTTACTATACTAGGAGTTGGGAGTCTTCAAAGCTGCAGAGGTTCCCAAACAGATTTTACACCTGAATACTTTCACTTTCATTGTTAAAACAAGCGAATATATTTATTCCCCTCTCCCTCCATAATAATACAATAATATTTTCAACCCATATCAATGTATTTTTAATACTTGTTTTGTTTGTTAATGTCTTGGATAGTTTTGCCGTTACACTAAAAACTTCGTTGGTGCAAAAATATTGAAATAACCAACCTGTACATGTATATGGCTACCGGTATTTCAACACAGTTATATTTTCTCATGATATATCTGGCTACTCTTGGAATTTTGAAAACAAAATACAAGAAATTGCAAACACTTCCCATATACACATGTAATTTTTACTACCGGGTAATTTATCTTGAGATTTTTAATAAAATTGACAATATGTATTACGTTTATTAATGACAGCAAGAGCATAGCATATAAATGTTTAATCTACATTGGATTCATAGTTACACCAGTTTCACATCGACTGAATCAAAGTCAGTACTGTAAACAAAATAATTCACTACGTTTAAATTTTGTTATTTTCACTGATAAGAAAAATCTGCTAATTTAAAAACAAAATCCATGAATGCATCATCGATAGTTATTACAAATATAATTGGTATTACAAATAGAATGCATCTCTATCACAAGTAGGATTGATTATTATATTTACATGTGATACAGATGCAACTAAATCATCGACTAAATGAATAAAATATTGGTATCCTTATGCTAAGTCAATTGCAGGAGTGGAAAACTGTGATACCATAGCACTTTCATATAAATAAATACAAGCTGTTTTATGAATGGTATGATTAGTACAGGACTATCTACCAGTGCGCCTTCTACCAGGACTGATTTTGTAGAGATCTTGAGTGAAAAAGAAATCCCAAAAATCAAGTTCAGTCAGTTTGTTTACCTGCTTGGGAGGTTGGTCTTCAAAAAAAAGATAAAACTGTATCACTTGAGATACAAATAAAAAATATAAAATCGTTTTTACACAGATTTTAGTTTAGAAAATGTGAATTTTAGTTTACCAAAGTATATATTCCACAACATGTTTTTTTTTTTCAAGATCATGATATCAATGTCTAATTTCTGTTATGTAAATGACATGCCAGAGAATCAGCATAATTAGTTGTGTCGCATCAGTTTCATGTCATATTGGTATCGAGGGCACACTGAAGTGTGTTCTGTATGTGATATTTCATGTTTGGCAAAAAAAGAAATAGTAGTGAATGAGTAAACAAATAAATAAAATCTCAGTTTCCAGCAACTTTGAACTATTAAACTGAAAAAAAAATGTTTTATTCCAGGAAGATATGCAATAAAAAGTTAAATAAGATATTATGGTCATCATAGCTTCATGGAAGATGAATAAATCTGCATGTCTTTTTAGCAAATTTAGCGAGAGAACTGATTCGTTTTTCAAGATGTCGCTAAATTCAAAATGGCCAAGGCTTGGGGATTTGTATACAGTAATCTGGAACATAAAAATCTGCGGTACTTCCAAATTAAACTTGACAGTTTTTCTTTGTTTTTATGGAGGTGATTTGTTTTGACACGCGACAGACAAGTATTGTAAAAACAGATAATCAACAATGACAAGAGAGATTCGCTAAATCAACATTTCACGTCATTTTACCACAATTCGCTAAAATTGCATGTCGCTTTTTCAACATGTTGTACAGTAAATTGGACTCCTTTCAATACCAGTGTTTGAAGAAAGCACTGCAAATATATTAACTATCGACAGCAACTGATTACTATTTTAAATGTTCCCAAGAAAAAGACTAATCATAGTGCACAATAAAATAAATTCATTTCATAAGATGACCTGCCTATGAAGCACGACTTTCAGCTTGCCTGACAGTTTAACATGATTTCCCCACTGGGCATGACAGTATTTCAGCAAACTTTTCTCCATTTATGTGTTTGTCTAACCTCATTGTGACCCCACTTGCTCAGTGACATCAGTCTCACAGCTCAGTTCCATTATTTCCCAATCATTTATTTTTCAATCACTTATCAACTTTTTGATTCCCTTCAAAATATTATTTTCATATTGTACTCTGAAAAAAGCTATGGATTAATTGTCAAAAAGGTGCTCCGACACTCAAACTTGACCTCTGCCCCCATCAACTGAACGCTGACCTTTAAAACACAATCCAAACTGACATACCCACCACATGCATGGACTTCCATATTTTACAACAACAAAACATCAACTTAGCAAAATTACAACAAATGTATTGTGAAAAAAAAATTGTAGTACACCTAATTACAAACTTTTCTCTTATTATACTAAGGGCCATGAAGTTTATACTAATGTGTGGTTTGTACAAACTAAGACAGCAAGTTGATGACAAAATTCATTTACATAAAAAAAATCAATGTAACATAATTGTTTGGACTTTTTAAAAGAATGCTATCACCTTGGCCATGTGTTAAAAAAATGCCTGTAAAACAAGTTATCACGACAACTTTGTGGCCAGTTTTCCGGAATCTTTCTTCACAGATTTATGTGCTTCTCTTTCTAATTTTTTTCGTTGCGTTTCCATCATTCGCTTTTCTCTTTCTTGCATTTTGGTTTCTTTCATTACCTGTTCCACTTCCCAAGATGACACGTTACCAGCCGTCTCGTCTTCCCAGGCATTGCTTTCGTACTCGTTCCATGTTTCCAATTCAGACTGTAATGAGGGAAAAGCAGTGAGGTTACAGAGTTCCTACAGGTTTCCTCCAGCTAATCAAATTGTCAGACCTTAATATGCTAGTTTTATGACCCCTTAACTCATCAAATTGTCAGACCTTTATATGCTAATTTTATAACCCCTTAACTAATCAAATTGTTAGAACTTTATATGCTAATTTTATAACCCCTTAACTAATCAAATTGTCAGACCTTTATATGCTAATTTTTTAACCCCTTAACTCATCAAATTGTCAGACCTTTATATGCTAGTTTTATGACTCCTTAACTCATCAAATTGTTAGAACTTTATATGCAAATTTTATAACCCCTTAACTCATCAAATTGTCAGACCTTTATATGCTAATTTTATAACCCCTTAACTAATCAAATTGTCAGAACTTTAATATGCTAATTTTATAACCCCTTAACTCATCAAATTGTCAGAACTTTAATATGCTAATTTTATAACCCCTTAACTCATCAAATTGTCAGACCTTTATATGCTAATTTTATAACCCCTTAACTAATCAAATTGTCAGAATTTTAATATGCTAGTTTTATAACCCCTTAACTCATCAAATTGTTAGAACTTTATATGCTAATTTTTTAACCCCTTAACTCATCAAATTGTCAGACCTTTATATGCTAGTTTTATGACTCCTTAACTCATCAAATTGTTAGAACTTGATATGCAAATTTTATAACCCCTTAACTCATCAAATTGTCAGACCTTTATATGCTAGTTTTATAACCCCTTAACTCATCAAATTGTTAGAACTTTATATGCTAATTTTATAACCCCTTAACTCATCAAATTGTCAGACCTTTATAAGCTAGTTTTATAACCCCTTAACTCATCAAATTTTCAGACCTTTATATGCTAATTTTATAACCCCTTAACTCATCAAATTGTCAGACCTTTATATGCTTATTTTATAACCCCTTAACTCATCAAATTGTTAGAACATTATATGCTAATTTTATGACCCCTTAATTCATCAAATTGTCAGACCTTTATATGCTAGTTTTATGACCCCTTAACTCATCAAATTGTCAGACCTTTATATGCTAGTTTTATGACCCCTTAACTCATCAAATTGTTAGAAATTTATATGCTTGTTTTATGACCCCTTAACTTGTCAAATAGTCAGACCTTTATATGCTAGTTTTATGACCCCTTAACTCATCAAATTGTCAGACCTTAGTTATATGCTAGTTTTATGACCCCTTAACTCATCAAATTGTCAGAACTTTAATATGCTAGTTTTATGACCCCTTAACTCATCAAATTGTCAGACCTTTATATGCTTGTTTTATGACAAAAGAAGCACTTCTAAACCAAAAATTGCACTAGTCATACATGTACATTTGTATACTGAATCATTAAAATATAACATACATACTCACTGTTCCCACAGGGTCATGACAATCGTCAGCCACTGTGGTGACTAGAATTATATTTGTTATCATTAGCCACATATAAGTTTTAATACTTATATGAATTCAATATGCACGCTAAAAATCCCTCGCTATATAGATATTCTGCTTTATAGAAAATATTACTTCCTTACATCATGCATTGTGCTATAGATTTGGAAATCGTAATGTCAGATTTTAAGTAGTTATATGTCACTAATAGAATATAAATTACATTAGCTACTTCAAATTTTAGTTAGCATGTGCTAACATGGCTAATGGAGAGTGCTTACACAGATAATTATTTTGAAACACTATTTTGATGTTGCGTTTCATATAATCAGAGCAGGAGTCGTCATTGAATCAGCAGTAATGGTTTCATCACATTGGAGGCGGACATCTTGGATTAACAACAACATGCGCAGAGGATGACCTTGGGTCAAAACCTAATTATGGATGTATGCTAATTTAAATATTATAAGCTAAAACAAATGAGCATAAATTATGACATATTGTAACAAACAGCTTTGTAATTTACCTAAGAGCATACATCATCAATAGAGCAAATACAGTTATGGCAATTTTATGTCACAGTATGGATTACACTCCTTGAAGTGCCAAGACATATGGGATAAACAAAATATCTCATTAACCTAAATTCCAGAGTACTAAGTGAACAGAAAATACTATTGTAAAATGACTAATTTTCACTGGGTTTAAATTTCACTGATTCAGCATTTCAGGCATATTCATTGGGTTTTAAATTCACGGTTTTATCATTTAGATAATGTGTTCTATGCTAAATTTTACATATTCACTGTGTTTTAATTTAGCGCATTTTCCAGTCAGCGAAATAAGCTAAATTATAACCTAGTGAATAATTTAACCCTTTTACAGTAAGTTTACAACAGATAGGAAAATAAATACTTACAGTAGTTTGTGGTATAACACCAGCATCCATAGACAGCCTGTTGGGGAATCCAAAACTTGATGTTTCTACTTTTTTTCTAATAATGGGCTGAAATTTTAACGTAGATAAAACAAGTAGTTAACATAACTTTTACAAATCATTGAGCTATCAACATTGTACAGATGTTTATATTGTATGTGAGTACGGTAGCACACATTTCAGTCATGACATTTTTGTTTCTGAAGTCATGTTGAATTCATCTGTGAATAATTGTTTGATAATCACCAACTTACATCTTTCAAGATAAAGCAAACGTGACATTTACACCCAACGATAAAAATAACATTAGAGTAGTATTACATGCAGCTTCTGGTTTTTATTCATTTTCTTTAATTTGCAAATCAGTAGACAACTATACTTTGGAAGGGGGGTTAATATACTACGACAGAACGCCATTGCCCTGCCCTGGTGTATGTTGGTTATTGGTCGCTATTTTGAAAGTATATCTTCTGGTCGCAGAACAGTCATAACCACTTCATCTGATATGTTTGTATGATTCCATGCAAAGGAAGTGACGTGTTTAAAATTATGTCCAATGATTGGTTAATCCACCATTCCATTCTTTTATTGAACAAATTTTGGTTGCGCACTCCCATCACCGTTTTTGACATTTTTTAAGATTAGGGTTATAAAAAGAACACAGCTCAGCCATTTTTTTTTTAATCACATTACAGCAATTGTTCAAAATTTGCCATTTTATAATCTATAAAATCAATTTTTTCAATAAGGTCTTGAATTTTATCAATAAATGAAATAGTCAGTATTCATAAACAAAGCCACTTACAGGTTTTTTTATTTTTGGTGCCATCTCTGCAAAGAAATCCACCTCAGGTTCTTCTGATTCCTCATTAGGCTGACCAGAATCTACTCGTATGCTTGTTGGTCCATTCTCTCCTCCCCAGTCATCCCAGTCCTGCAACTCTATAGGCTATATAAACATGACATAATTCAGTACCAAGAATTTCACATGATATTATTATTTAAAGGCTACAGTTGTCATGCAGCGCATATTCAAATTTCATGTAAATAAACCATATATTTACACATGATGTATACATTGCTATGGCTACTATATCAAACACAGCACATGGCACTGACTGTAGTTTACATATATGCATAGTAACATTTCACTGAAATTTATATTTTTTTATTAATATATTGTAAAACAACTGTGTAGGACTTAATTATTAGCTGGATTTTATTTTCAAAAATACAGTCCGCCATTTACTCACATGAACGAATTACACTAACTCGTACAAACACAATAACAATAGAAAGTTGAATGATATTGCAAAGAAGAGTTACTGGTATATTTCTGCTGGCAATAAAAACCCAAATGCATGTACAACAACATGCTTAGATGACAAGCCTACATTACAATAAATAAATAAGCATATAATTTTACAATTTTTCCTGCTCTGCAATATAGATAATAACCCTACTAATAAACATATTTTCCTCCCAAAGATAACATCATGGGAATGCCAAAATAAAAAAAGTCTACAAAAAGTCTACAACAGATTAAGCGAACTTCTTTGTGTAGGTGCATCAAACTTCGTACCAGGGGGCTGCCATGTTTATTTTTATTATTAGAGAACGCTTACGTGTGTGATCTTTTCATATTTGGAATTCACAATTCCTAAGATGTTAAGATGCAAATACCCTGTGTAATTATGCAAAAATATGGCATGCTGTATACCATAATATATTTCCTGATGATGTCTCCTTACCTCAGTTGATGGTATATCATGTGTTGTGTTGTCTGGCACCGAGAGAGAGTTCATACTGACAGGCAATGCATCACTGTTTCTTCTCCGTTTCATAAGGCACATGGCTCTTTTGAACAGTCCATATATGATGGTAAAAATGCTGCATATTTTTAGGAGATTAAATTGAACAACCTTCATAGCTGTAGATTTCTAGTATAATACCTACAAGAGAACAATTCAAGATAATGTCAAATTTATACTGTTTACTTTAAACACAACATAAACAACATATTGTCGATGCAAAGCTATTCACAAGATTGTTTCCCTTCACTTTGACATAAGTTTCAAAAGAGAAAAAACAGAATATGGTGACATAAGGGGGTTTAAATTCCCCTTGAAGAGTAGTATCAGCATTGATGTAACTAGAATTTAAAAGTTCAATTGGCATAAAAAAGAGATTTAAGCTGAAAGAATATGTTATGTCTGCGTAAATATGGATGAGGCAACACTGGCGACCATTTGCAAAAAGTGCTACAGTCAACTGTATTTAAGTGTATCTTATTACAAAATAGGTAGGCTCAAAATGTATATCAAATTTTAATGCAGTTTAGATTGTTATAGTGACCTGTATGGATGTACATTGTTAAACTGGAATGGCCAATTGATTCTAACATAAAGCTGACAAGGTATTAGATACATGCTAAAACAAATTAATTTGTCTGGTGTCAGTTAGACCGTCGACAGTTCTCGGGCCTAATAAAAAGTCACTTACGTCATACACCAATCAACCACTCATGAGTGAAATAGTAGTAGTAGTTTGAGTGACAAGTCTCAGCAGGTACATCACCAGGCAATTTCCATGTAATGCCGCGTGAGAGCGTTTACATGCTATAACAGTCTCTCAGGCCTTACGGCCCTCACTTAGAAAAAATATCTTCGGCATTTCGTTAAAATGCCAACAGCGTTCGAAAGTAAGTGACTCTTTATTAGGCCCATGAACTATCGACAGTCTAGATGTCAGTTGGTTCTAAGACTCAAGCAAGATAAAAATACTTCGGCTGCGAGCCATCTTGCTAACTGACTATCTGTAGTTGGAACTAGTTATTCTAGTTGATGTCAAATTAGATGGCTCAAAGAACATTTTAATTATATTCACGCATTAACTTGATTGCATTCAGTGTACTGTAAAATACTTTATTTTCACTTGGAATTAATTTCGCTATTTTCGCTGAAGGAATGATTCAGTGAAAATAAAATCCAGTGAATATACCTTTTTTCCTACATTTTACATTCAACTCATCAAAAATCAATTGAACATAAAATTCAGCAAATACAACCAAAAAGTCTTTTCAGCAAAAATAAATTCCAGCTAAAATAAAGTATTTTACAGTACACTGAATGCAAGTTAGGTCTTGCACATTTCGGGGGCAATGTGTTTATAACAACAAACAGCCTGGTGACTACAAAATTTACAAAGCTGTAAACACTCTATTTTATTTTATTATTTGAGTGTTCTACACTTACTACACACGTTTGATGCATATTGTAGTCATAACAACCACGAACAACATAAAATTTGAATTGCGATGACCGAAATTTACATCCCCCTATCTAAAATGAAATACTACGTTGCATGTGGTCCAGTTGTTCCCTGTTTTTCTCTACATACAATGGCTTTGCATGACAAAATGGAGCTCAGAAATACTTTTCATGGAAAGGCCAGTTTATAATAAATTGTATCAAATTTTTGCCAACACTGCATTAGTTCCGTGATGGCTATTACTACCGGTAGTAGTAAAGAAGTATGTGGATTGTACTTTTTATATTTTTCTTTCTCAGGCGTTTTACATGCTACAATGTTGTTACTTGTCTGCTGTCCAGCTTGGTTAAAAACAACTTGTAGTCAGTTACATTTAAGTCATTTAGTCAATGTTTTACTACTTATTGTCTGTGTTATTCCTGAAAGTGCATTCCACCAGTTAGTTCCTATTTTTAATTTTATTATGAGCAGCAGCTGGTAGTCCGTGTTTTTGATCGGCTATTTTTCAAGTCAGTCAGAGCCTGCTTTTAATTATTTTAATTTTGTCATCGGCCCATAGTCTTTTTGATCGTCCTTTTTTTATTTTATGTTTTTTTTCAAATCAGTCTTCTGATTTTTTTTTCATCATCTAGACGCTATTATATTAGTGTGAACGATCTACGTGATTTATGGATCTGCATTCTATTGTTTTCTCTTCTGCCCTCGGTCCTTTTCTTAAAGTGCGCACCACCCTGTCCCTATGCATCCACTTTTTGCGTTTTTCACACCTCTTACTTACCTCATTTGAGAAATACCATAATATCTTAGAAACCTATGGTAAAATGGACACAACCCACTAAAATGCAACCACTATTTTCCCGAAAATTATGCTGGTGATCTGGCGTACAGTTTATTGCAAAATAAATATATACACGATATTTGCATTTATGAGTAGTCTTCTACATGTATTCCCTCGGGAGAGTACAGTGAACCATGGAGCTAAAAAAAAAGATCCACATGAGTGAACGTAATCCTGAATGACAATGCACAGTGTACTTCGGTTTTCCAACTTCTAAAGATTTTAGAACTTACCTTATTTACTGCAAGTCTGTTCTTGTGATAAAAAGTGATTTCACTTTCTAATTCTTATCAAACTGCTCTGATTATTGCAACATCAATAAGACTTCCAACGCGGCATGGAGTTTCCAGTCGCCATTTTTCACGTTATGTCTGTTAATGTAGATTCATATTCATGTTGTCGAATAATTCAACACTTCAGGTTACACATATCTTGAAAATATCGAAGAAAGAGATGTTTAAGAAATTTTAGTTGTGAAATAAAATCATGTAATTGACCTAACTTGAACGTAAGTTAGAATTTGTTGATAACAACAGTTTTTTTTTTTCGCGTTAAAAAAAACGAACGAATGCGAAACAAACACAAGAGACATAATATGTCTGTTCGTTGGCTCATTCCTCTGTAATTGAGCTCCAAGTCGACGTCGTTGAGGGCGTAGGCACAATAACTCGAAATATTGTCCTGTGACTATTTATTTATTTATTTATTTATTTATTTATTTATTTATTTATTTATTTATTTATTTATTTATTTATTTATTTGTTTATTCATTTATTCACTGTCTTTCAATGCACATGTCCATTGAAAATAATGCTGCATACTAGTACTTGAATAAAACTACGATTGTCTGCCACTAAACCATTTTTTGCATCTGTCACTTCCCGGACCTAAAAGCTTTTTTGTCTGAAATGCTGAATATAATTCAAGCGAGGACCGTAATATGTTTTGTTTATATATGTAATATTTTTTTTTTGTATTGGGTAACAGTTCTTACGGTACAACCAAGACCTTATTTTTTTATATACACACTGATCGACAATGATTAAAACCCCATTTTCAATGTTATATACGAAAATTTCAGTCAGGTGTGAGTCGATCTCACGGAGAAATGTGGGGATGGATCTGGGTCCGGAATTAGAAATAATCCTGTAGAAAACCCTGCATGTGGTCGCAGATTTCTCCGTAGATGGGCGGTGATGTCGGGTAGGAATGGTATCTACAGTATCCAGACAAAATTAATTATGAAATTAACGCTATACGACATACGGCAATCGATTAAACATTGTTCGATTTTTGCCGACTGAACGATTAATTAGTACGAGACCCTAGTTTAAATAACTTTTGATACTTTATAGGCTATCCTAGGTATTGTCCATCGCTATTGATGTTTTTTTTTTTTTTTTTTTTTTTTTTTTTTTGTGTGATTTCTGTATGTTCATTCTTGTCGATCCGCTGTACCCCCACTGTCACCATTGTCTTTTAGAGGGTCTATGATTAGACGCTATCTATTGTCTGATATGCGCGTACCATTGACACCACTGGTGGGCAGATTCATTTTATATATAGATCCACCCATTATTCACTTGTTTGAGCTAGACATTAACTGTCTGGAATAGTACTATTTTATTGACACCGTTGAGACTATGTTAATGTTTCTTTTAAAGATATGATTGTTAATAAAGGACTAAAAACACAGATTAAACACGAACACGTTTTCTCCGTATGCAGAGTCATGTGACGACAGAAACTTATGCATTTGAAAATACCGGTAAAAGTTTCATCACATATGAATTTTCCGATATCTTTCGACATCACTATTTATATTGATTTTTTGAATAATTTAGATGTATTCCCATATGAGTATTAAGTGTGTGTAGCAAACGCTGTGTAACATAACTACGACATAATGTTTTAAAGGGTAAGTTTTTGTGTTCATTGTAATTTTTAAAGGGTCGTGGTCGTCACGTCATGCGTTGTATACGTCGCTATGAAACACGACAAGGCACAAAGTTTCGACTTACAAATAGCAAGTTGAAACTACATGTATTGGTATGCTGGCTCATTCCAGCACGTGTTGCTACGTACAGTCTCTCAACCGTGTTGTGTTAGGTTCAACATGCTGGTTAGTGTGAAATATTAAAGTATGTTGAAGTCGCAACTGTTTATTTTATAAATTAATATTACTCTTTCAATCAATATATGCTGCAATAATTCAAAAGATAGGAACAACATGAGAATCTCATGAGCAGGTCGAACATCGGAGAAGGATTAAAACGCCTCTAAAAATAAAACTTTCATTTTAAAGATCAATGCTATATTTATTCTTCGATTAAGCCTGCATGTGTATTGTAGTCACGATAATGTGAATGTACATCATGATTATCATGTGCTTTTTTAATAACAGTCCCATTTTCCACTTCCAATTCTTGCTAAAACACTAGTATATTTGTATGGCATTGGTGTAAAATAGTTCATAGTTTGGGGGACATGATGAACATCTCAATGGTGATCGTCATGCTACCCTAGTACTGTGTAAAACGCGGAACTGGAACTACAATTTTCGTCACCGGAGAACTAATATTAAAGTCGGTTGAAATAAATAAGTGTCTTGGTCAGGCTTCGGGTTTAGGATGATATGCAGTTTACCTACTTTACCCTCAATCTAATGCTATGACACGTTATAAAGGAGTGCGTTTCAATTTAGTTAGATTAAATCGTAGTTAAATTTAATTAATATACTAACAGGACTGCATTTTTAATGTAGTAGATTTAAAGCTCAAATATTATTAAATTAATGTAAATAAACTAAATTTAATGAGGGAAAGGACATATATGCACGTGTATGCGTGCTGCCGTACGTATTCGATTCCGGTTCTATAGCTAACCGTCTGTACGTCCAATGACACATACGTGTACCGACATGTACACACACTTGCACTACACTGTTTTATGGTATACATATCCATTCTATTTTCTGGTGGTTTACTTTCAGTAGTGGGTCTCACCATGAGGTTGAAGACAGCGAGAGTTTCTACCTTCATCGTTATCGTTATTGTCGGGTCTGTGTTATACTTTGTTGTAGCGACTACCAATTGTGCTCTACACTTGGATTGGTGGAATGGTGACGTACATCCGATAAGTCGGTAAGTATTCTCATTGAAATGCTCTCCCAGAAAGATCTATATTGACCACAACATTGGCAGTATCCATGCAGTCATAGGCAAGGGGGGGTATGTATGGGGGTCTAAAAACTAACTCTGCGACGCGATTGTGCGACTCGCCGAATGTCGATTATTGCACTCTGCGACAGGATCGCAGTGTCACTCTGCGAAGAGCACGATTCCCATTGGTTGGTTGGTCGAAAAGCGTGAATCTCAATGGTCGATCGATGTAAGGGTACACAGCAGCATGCCTTATGGAAATGTTTAGTTTTAAATGGTTATTTCGCCGACTGCTCGCGAACTACGGTAAACAAGTATTTACCGCCGACATGCCGCACGGTTCGGTAATCAGCAAGTATTTACCATTGATTTATTAACATATATAACATCCCCCGGAGGGGATGAAAGGGGTTACAAAACACATGCACGTTGGTGTTGGCTGCCTTATTACGGTGTAACATCAGGGAGCTGGTAACATTAACGCCATCTTGAAGTTGTAAGGCTTCGTCCGCAACTGTGCTCATTAGCATAGGCGGCAGCTTTAAAGCGAGTAGAGCGCGAAGTACGTTTCACGTGATGTTACGTTATTTTATTTTTTTTATTAGCAAGTATAATTTGTTATGACTATATTCATCACTTTAAATTCCCAAATAAAAGCGTGTAGCGGGTCAAACTGTTTCTAGGCAATCAATATCGTTTTATTAAGAATATTAAGAGAACAACAACGTAAAGCTATGTGAATGGATTGAAACTACTGCTGAAGATAGAAAACTAAAACAGCAGTGTCACGCTCTCTGCATAAACGGAACGATGGCTTTGTTTATTTGGCCGATGTCGACGAGCAACAGATTTCCTGTACTCACTTCCTCGTCTGATCACCGACCCTCAACGGTCTCATGTATCGGTGTCGTCATCGGTTAAGTAGCTGAAAGTCTTTCGCGTTGATGCGAATATTTCAGCCTAGTCGTCCCTTTTGAACTACTCGCGAGGTTGGTCATAATATGACCTAGATGAAAAATTCTTGAAAAATAAATATACATTGCGTAAACGAGGGGTGAACGCGGAAGTCCTGTAATTTTATATCGGAGTACAGGCAGCCAACACCAACGTGCATGTGTTTTGTAACCCTTTTCATCCCCTCCGGGTGATGTTATATATGTTAATAAATCAAGGTTAAATACTTGCTGATTACCGAACCGTGCGGCATGTCGGCGGTAAATACTTGTTTACCGTAGTTCGCGAGCAGTCGGCGAAATAACCATTTAAAACTAAACATTTCCATAAGGCATGCTGTGTACCCTTACATCGATCGACCATTGAGATTCACGCTTTTCGACCAACCAACCAATGGGAATCGTGCTCTTCGCAGATTGACACTGCGATCCTGTCGCAGAGTGCAATAATCGACATTCGGCGAGTCGCACAATCGCGTCGCAGAGTAAGTTTTTAGACCCCCATACATACCTCAAAATGGGGCAAGTGAAAGACATGTATTGATCAATGTTTCATCAAATAAAATAATCCTTATAGATATTGTACTCATTTATATTTTATGGCATCATTTCCAGTTTAATCACTGATGTTGAGGAAGATCACAGTGAATTTGATGTATATTCTAGCTCTGAAGAAATGAAAGATAGCAATGAAGTAAGTTTATGATTATTGAGGTGTGGCTACATCTTGCACCACAGGGTAGATGGTTTCCTGGCCTTTGTTTAGTATTTAAGTGATTGTCACTGTTCAGTCATGTAAGCTTTCTACTGCGACATTTGCAAACCGTTACACCAGTTTTTCTCACAACAAATTTGTGATATACGTATGCAATTACTATTCATAATTATCATGTTTAATCATGGTATTTATATTTAAAGCCATTCATGTCAACATTTTCCATGATTGAGTAACCCAAATGCTTCCCAAAACACAATGACAGAACTTTACCAGTCTGAGAGCTGTTTACAACTGCAAATAAAATGGCACACTGCCTAGTGGGTGAATAAATGGCACACAGTCATACTTTTAAAA